TATGAGCCTGTTGTTGCCATATAGGTAGGTTTTCAAGTTAGGAACATATTTTCTTTAATAGGTGCTATTCAAAATTTTATATTTCCTCCAAAGTCAGTTTCATTAATTTGTATTCCAAGGTACTTCTTAGAAGTCGTTAAGTTTATTTCAAAAAAGATTTTTGTCATATGCTTTCTATATCCTTTTAAATTCTGTAAAATCTGTGATAATGTCCTCTAAATTTTGATATTGTAATTTTAAAATGTATAATTGATATTGTATAATAGGAAGAAAAGGTCTAAAGGAATAGGGGAAGTGGGAAGAGTAGGGGAAGGGAAAGAAAAAGAAAAAATATGAGAAAAGGAAAAAAAATGGAAACAAAGTCTTTGCAAATAAGGAAGGGTGAAGGACATGAAGGGAGGGCAGAAGAAGGGAAAAAAATCAGAACCAAGATACATCATGTAAAGGTGCAAGATCCCAATGATGAATGTAACTGTATTTTATACTTAAAATGTACCAATAAACTTAATGAAAAAAAAATTTAAGTGATGAACACGCAAAAAAATACTAACAAGAAAAACAAGCAAAGAGTTAAGACTGCTGAACTGAAATAAACAAGAACTTCAGTGAAGTTTGTTTAGAAATAACATGTTTGGGTATCAGTCTTAAAAAAAATTTATCTTGGTTTATTACCTGATATGAAACTTTCAAATATAAATTTAAGGTATTTTTAAAATGTCATTATTACTGTTACGATTTTGTCATATAGGCTTGATATTATTTATCCCCTAGATAGCTTATATGAGAAGAATACAAAATGTATCCATGACTGCTGTGGTTGAATCTGAAATCTAAAGTATGTTAAACTTTTGTGTATATACCCATGTCAGTTCACCTTGCTCCAAATTAGGGTCGTTTCTACTGAGAAAGTTACATTACATTCAGTTAGAAAACAGAATAGGAAGGGAGGAAAAATTTATAATGTTTATGTATACATATTACATACAATACCCTTTTAGTGCTGTGTACCTAAAGAACACAAAGTTACTGGTAACTCAGAGTTGTAGAAAGTTCACCTCTTGCTGTCTGTGTTTCTCATTCAGGTGAATATCCTGGGTAAGATGGTGAGCCGAGCGACCCCTGGACTGCAGAAATTTTCCAAAACAGCCAGCATGCTCTGGCTTCTTCAGCAGGAGATGGTCACCTGGAGGCTGCTGGTTTCTTTGTATAGGTAAAGTTATGTAGAACTCATAAGTGATGTCAACATAAGGTACAAACCTCTAGGCAAATTAAAAGAGTAAGATGTATTTGCAAATAGGTTTTGCTGTTTTGAGGCTGATCATTTCTAATGCTTTGGTTGATAGAAGTTAGTTATAAGAAAAGAGGCTATCAGGTCATAAACCTGATAACTGCCAAGAATTGGATATGTATGAAGATTTAAGGAAAACACTAAAAATAGAACAATACATAGGAAGGATAGATTAAGAAAATGAACTGAGGGGCTGGGGATTTAGCTCAGTGGCTCCGGTGCCTGCCTTGCAAGCACAAGGTCCCAAGTTCGATCCCTGGTACCAAAAAAAAAA